GTACCGTTCAGTAGTGTTAAGTACGTTCACAGTAGTGGGGGACCAACCTACAGAACTCTTTTCACCTTACACAGTGGAAACTCTGCACCCAGTAACCGAGTCTCTATTACTGCTCCCTGGCCCCTCTGCCTCCCCCAGCCTCCGGCAACTCCCGTTCTGTCTCGTCTCTATGGACTCGACTGCTGTGGTCAAATACAGTCTTTGTCCTTGGGTGACTGGCGTGTTTCACTCAGCATAATGTCCTCCCGGTTCATCCATGCTGTATCCTGTTTTCTAGATCCACCAGTTCTCATTCTGCAGCTGGGCTCTTAGTGGGGAAAAAAAGTACTTTATAAAAAGTTGTTGTTCGGTTGTTCAGTCTTGTCTGACTCTTTGTGGCCCCATGGACTGCAGCACGCTGGGCTTCCCTGTCCTTCACTAACTCCTGGAGCTTGCTAAAACTCATGTCCATTGAGTTGATGATGCCATCCAACCATCTCATCCTCTGTTGCCCCCTTCTCCTCCTGCCCTTAGACTGTACTTAGAATAAAAGTGTTTTTCTTAATTTTCTTTTCTGACTCACAGAATGCCCAGGCTGGTGAATATGGGTGTGGTTCTTGCCAGAACCTCCAGGGGTCTTACCGTTCAGCCAGTCCTGCCCACGATGAAAGCCCATGGGTGTCACATGACTGATGACGTCATTACACCAAGGGCCACCTTGGGGCCAGGTGGCCTTCTGACTTCAGTGTCCCTCTGGGAGTCAGCAGAACCACGGCAGCGAGCGTGAGCCCCGGGGCGGCGCGTCTCCGGCAGACGCTGGCCGCGCTGCCTGGACTGTAGGGCGCCTCCCTTGGGACTTGCTGGCTCAGCCCTGGTCTTCGTGGTCAGCTGGGCCCGTGTTCTCAGATGTCGGCTCACACGCTGCTTTTCCTGGCAGGCCAGGCCCTCTCGACCCATCGGTTGGCTTCCTTTGCCACACGTGGGTTTGGCTCTTCATGGCTGAAGGTCATGGGACTGTGTTAGAGCGTCACTGAAATAAGACGTTTGTGGTGCCAGCGTTGGGTCATTTCTTCTGATCTGAACCCACGGGTCTGTCTGTCACGTATGGTGAGCTGATTGCTTTTTCTAGCCTGGGGTTTTTCCTCGGAGAGAGTCCTAGGGAGACACCGTCTACAGCCTTCTCCCATGGAGAATAGCTCAGGGCTAAGTGCCGGAAGCCTGGAGAGAAGCCGGGCGATGAGAAATGAAGGCGGGGCCGTTGCCAGTGTCTCTGTGGCGCGCTGGGCTGGGCTCGGCCTGGCCGCTGACCCGCCGCGGTGAGCGGGGCACGCGCCTCCCCATCCGCACCTACCGCGTGGGGGGCGGGCCCTGCTCACCCACGAGTGGGAGGATCCCCCGGGAAGCGCCGACGCCCGCGGTCATTCGGGACGGTGAGCACCACTGCAGGGGGTGAGGACGCGCTTAAGGAGCTCCTACGGCCCCGCCAGGGCGGTGAGCTGGTAACACAGGTGCTGGCACCAGCTCACACTGAGGAGAGTCCTCCTCCGCCTCCGCGGACACCGCTCCACTCCCCACCGCTCGATTTGCCAGGTGAGTGAGTGGTTTCCGGCTGGCATGAGTTGTCGTTGAGGCTCTATGTTGTGTCTGACTCTTTGTGACCCGTGGACTGCATCGGGCCGGGCTCTCCTGTCTTCCACTGTCTCCCAGAGTTTGCTCAAACTCATGGCAGGCTGCAGTCCACGGGCTGGCACCGCAGGCCCGTACTGTTACACACGCAGTGGACGTGTGTGTGTTAGTCACTGTTACGTCCAACACTTTGCGACCCCCCGTAGCCCACGCGACGCCCGCCCCCCAGTCCATGGGGTCGCAAAGAGTCAGGCGTAACCGAGTCACTAACACATACGCGTGTCCGCTGAGTCTGAACACAGCCTGACGTCTCACCCTCTGCCTCCTTTTGCCTTCAGTCTTCCCCTGCCTCGGGGCTTCCAATGAACGGGCTTTTCGCATCAGGTGACCAGCTGGCTGGTTCCAAAGAGTGGGGTTGGAGCTCATTGGAGCCTCAGCTTCAGCATCAGTCCTTCCAATGAAATTCAGGACTGATTTCCTTTAGGATGGACTGGTTTGATCTTGCAGTCCAAGGGACTCTCAAGAGTCTTCTCCAACACCACCGTTCAAAAGCATCAGTTCTTTGGCGCTCAGCTTTCTTGGCTGTGATCCAATCCTCACATCCTTACATGTCTACTGGAAAATCCACAGCTTTGACTAGATGGACCTTTGTCAGCAACGTGATGTCTCTGAGATTCTGCCACAAAAACCTTGATCGCCAGCTTCTCTGGATTACTGTGGTTCCTATGTACTTTTAAGTAATTTCACTTACTTTTTAAAACTAACTTTGAGCTTTAAAGGCCCATGAGCCAGGAATATCTCCAAATGGAGGGAAAAAAATCAGTTTGCTGCCCCCCAACCTGAAGCCACAAGGGCCATAACCATTGGTCTTTTCCACACACATTTCTAGTCTCTCTAGATAGAGTCGCAGGAGGGTGGAGCCAGCTGAGTCTGGCAGCGGGCTTCCCAGGTGCTGCTAGTAGTAAAGAACCCGCCTGCCAGTGCAGGAGACGTCAGAGACGTGGGTTTGATCCCTGGGTCGGGAAGAGCCCCTGGAGAAGGGCATGGCAGCCCCCCCAGTGTTCTTACCTGGGAAATCCCACGGACAGAGGAGCCTGGCGGGCGGCTTGTCCCTAAGGTTGCAGAGTCAGATATGACTGAAGCAACTTTGCACACACAAGTATGACAGCAAGCCCCAAGAGGCCATAAAACACGGCCTGTAATTTTCCCCTCCATGTCCAAGCAGTTTTCAGCAAGTACTTGATAAATCCTTCCATCTCCTCACAGCTAGAAGATGTCATTTGGGAGCAGCCATCCCAAAGAAGAGTAAGAGATATAAGGCCCGTGAGCCCGAAAGCTTCGCAGGGAGCACAGCCGAGAACGGCTCAGCTTGAGGGGCAGGGACCACAGCTGAATGCGAGTCTCGGCAGGGGCCGCGTCAGGGCGGGCAGGCGGCGGTCCGGCTCCGTGGGCACCGTGAGGATGGACTCCGTGCCAGCACGGCAGTCCCAGCCGCGGCCAGGCTGTCGGCGCGTGAGCGGGACGCCGTAGAGGTCTCTAAGTGGATTTCCACCCTGCAGAGAACCTTCCGCATCTAAACCACTGGCTGTGCCCGTCCTCTCTTCCCGTTTATCCCTTCCCCGCCTCCACTCAGTTTTCAGCCAAATGAGGGTCAGGATGAAGAGGAGACTTGGAGGGAAGTAAGCCGGATATTAAGGTTTCTGCGATGGTGCTCTGTTCTTGAATTCTCGGAAGCAGCAGCTCCTCTGTAATGACGTCCTCAGTTTTTAAGCACCTTTAGACACCAGGAGATGCAGTGTTGGCAACAGCCAGGTGGCTGTTTCCTGCTTTCTTATAAAAATACGGTGGGGAAGCCTCAGGAGCTGGCTGGGGTTGTTAAAAGACACTCTTAGGCATTTTCACACACTTGACTCTTCATGGGACTTTGAGCAGCCTCAGATTGGGAACGGACAGGAGTCAGAGAGAAGAGAGCTCTGCTGGCTGCCGGCACCCGGCGGCTCGAGGCCCCGGGCAGGCCCTCTGTTCTGTGCGGCTCCCGGCGTGCGGGGGCCACAGCTGCCGGAGCCGAGGGTCGGGGCAGCGGCAGCCTCGCTTACCCTGAGCGTGCTGGACCCAAGCCAGAAGCAAACAGGAGTCTCATCAGTCACGTCAGCGTTCATGCCGTGTGTTTTTCCAGCACGTCTGACGTTATTCTGACGTGTCTGTGTGCAGTAGCACTTTTCCTCTCCTTCTCTGCTCCTCACAAGTCATGTAGCTGGTCCCCACACCTGGAGTGCTGTTCGTATCTCCGGGAGTGCAGTCTTGGTCAAGAGATGTGTCCCTGACATTTCTCCTACTTGTTAACAGGTTGCACTGTTGGAGACCCTGATTAACTCTAGAAGCATTCCCTGTCGAGTCCTTCAGACTGTTCTGTGTATATACGTGTGTATGTGTGTTCATGTTCGCCAAACTTAGAGACCTGTATTCAGACCCGCTTTTTTATTTTATTTTTTTTTAATGTTGAAGGTGATTGATAATGCCTTAACCAGGATCATTTGCCACATTCTATTTTGGAGAAAGTAATTTATGCCACCTCTGGGGCTGGCTGTAGTAACAGTTTTGACTAAGTGCTCTCTAACATTAATCTAAACCAATCCTTGATTTAGAATCACCTCCTTTCCACTGCAAGGATATTTTCCTAAGACTGGCTAGGTTATAAAGTTTTTCACTGGGTGTCTTAAAACAGTGAAAATGCTGATCTATAAATGTAATAAAGTGTCTTTGTGATGCATTGATCTTTCCACTTTTCTTGCCTCTCCTGTTACAGAACTGTGAGTGGTAACATAGCTGCAAAATGTTTTATAGGATACAGAGTGCAACATTGTAAGCCAAGAAATTGAAAACGGGATGGGAGGCCAGACGGTGAGGGAGGGACGGAGGCGCTCAAGGTCAGATCTGTGTGTTAAGGATGGTGGCAGAAACGCCAGAAGGCAAACTTGCCTTTTATTGGGCCGGTGGCACCAGAAGTGGTGGAAAACCTGCTGACCTCAGAAGACATGGATGGGAGTTCTTGACCGCATCAAGTCATAAAGTGAAGAGCAGTTTAGCAAAAGTTGTGAGCTTTGGCGTTGAACTGACATTGCCGTTTTGTTTGCCTGCAAATGGTTTCTGTGCCCGAGAGAGAGGAGGGTTGAGACAGTGGTCAGAACACCCACACACACGGGTTCTGCACTTTGAAAGGTGAAGCCCATTCATCATACAATGAGCCTAACACTCTTCAAAGATGCGTTTTCGGAGGGTATAAATAGTGCATAGTTGGAAGGTGTTTTGAAGCCACTTGGAAGGACGTGTTTGTAGGCCATCCCCCGAGTGAGTGCAGACAGCTCGTGCTCATGCTGCTTTCTCTTCCGTTTCAGCACATCAGGTCCACCCCTCTGGCCAGGCAGCACCTTCTTCAAGAGGAACGGAGCCCTCCTACAAGGTAGGTCTCTGCACGCCCCACCCCCGCGCCCCACCCTCCTCTCAGAGGGGGCTCCTGTCCGCTGCCTGGGTGACTCCTGTGGGGCGGCCCTGTGTCTCCACGTCTCTTTCTTCCATCCTCCCCTCGTCTCCTGATTGCTGTGAATTGTTGGGCTGAGGTGAGACAGTTTCTTTGGTCTGTTGTCACTGGTCCGATTCCAGAAGTGCTTGGCTTGCTTCGGTGAAGTTGGAATTATACATGATGATGTCATGGTGACAGAAATGGGTTGAGAAAACCAAAGTGAAACCCCGTTATGGATTGCCTGTGCCTGGGCTCCAAGGAATGCTGTGGGTGTCTGGCTGCTCGGGTCATTGTAGAGGTTCACTTGTTACGCGAGGTCCGACATCCACGGGTGCCCAAGGGTGACTGTGGCTGGCTCGGCGGCTCAGAGCTCACACCCATACCTTTCATCCCTGCAGGCGTCGTTTGCAGGGGGACAAGGCGGGGCATTCTCCCTGCTGTCCATTCGGTCCTCAGCTGCCTAACAACTTCCTATCCTGTGCACTCAAGGAATTCAAACTGCCTTTCATCTCTGCTTTTGCTGTCAAGCATCTTTAGAAATGGCCGTAGTCAAAGAAGACTGCGTGGCTAAAGATAGCAAGACGATGCCTGCTGCCTACTTTGAGAAAGTGTTTGGGGAGATGACCGTTCTGAATGCCTGCCCTGCACACCGGCTGGGATGGGCTGCTCCGAGGGTCTCCGCCTTGCCCTCGCTGCTAGCCTCTCTTGGTTGGCTGGGCCTTGCCAGGCCACCGCTGGCCCGAAGCAAGTGGGTTGCTGGTGCCAAGAGATTCGGACCTGTCCTGGGCTCCAGGTTGAGGAGTTTCAGTGAGCCTTGGTTGGTTGAGAGATGCTAAGCCTCTTTTTCTTAAAAGTACATGCCCAGGGTCAGCCATGGGTGGGAAAGAGCAGACCGAAATGTAGCTAAGGAAAGAGGTATTTATCTTCAGGTTTCCAGAGTAGCTCAGAAAGCTGTGAGAGATGCCGTCACCTTTGTGAAGTTTTTTTCAATGCCAGACAATTGCATGCTTTTATTACATAACCTGTGAAGTTGGGGACTTAGGACTTCTTTGTGTCTTTGCTTGGTCCCGGTGAAATTTAGGCAGGCAGGTCTGGTTAATTCTGATATTAATAACTGTTATAGATATCCTGAATGTTTAAGAAAAAAATTGGAAAATGCTTCCACTCTCAAATATTAAGACATAATTAAAAAGATATATACTCAGTGTTCCCTTCAGAAAGTGTAAATGATGAGCCTTTGGGTTTTCTCAAGTGGATTTCAAAGTTATATGCATCTTTATTTTTCCTCTAGATCTGTAGCAATGATATGAATGTCATTCATGGTTGGATTGTTTTCACAAAAGTGATTTTATTTACTGAGAGCATTTTCCTACAGGATTTTTATTCTTTAAGTTCCACATTAGGGAAGATTTGCTCTAAGCGTGTTAGTTTTTGGTTATTTCTACGGGGCACACGCATGAGGGAAAAATTGATAAGTTTTCTGAAGCTGAGCTATTTCATCATGAGATTCTGTCTCATTGGGTGGTAGACATTGTTTGTGTTCTTTATAGGCTTAAACATTCCTAATTACTCTTAGGCATTGAGAATTGAATTATTACAGATCTCAGATGCTGATTGAATCCACATCCAATTCAATACATCCTACTAATTTCTTTTGCACATGTGGAAAGCAGAGGGTCGTGGTGAGAATTCGGGAGTGGGTGGAGATTTACTAATGGTGTTTCCTGTCTTCACTTGCTGTATCTATACTGTATAGAGAGTTTGCGAGACACTCACATCACAGTAAGGTTTTTAAAACTGTGTATTCTTCTGAATTGATACCTTTTAAATTTGTATTAAGGTATAGTTGATTTACAGTGTTGTATTAGTTTCTGTTGTAAAACAAATTGACTTGGTTATGAATATATATACGTATATATGTTCTTGTTCATATTCTTTTCCGTTACGGCAGCTCACAGGATATTGAATGTAGTTCGCTGTGCTCCACAGGAGGGCCTGGTTGCTTATCCATCCTGACGTCATAGTTTGCACCTGCTCACCCCAAACTCCGGGCCCCTCCCTCCCCAGCCTCTCCCGACCCCCTTGGCAGCCTTACGTCTGTTCTCTAGGTCTCTGAGTCTGCTTCCCTTTCATAGATATCCGTCGTATGTTGGGGTTTCTTTGGTGGACGGCGCTCATTAAGAAGTTGCTGATGCTCACGAAGAAAAGTTTCACAGTGAAGACAGGGGCAGAGAAAGAAGGGAGCTTCCCAGTCATGCCGGCAGGGGGTCCCTTAGGACCAAGTAGAAGAAAATGTAGCTGATTCATGCCCGCTTTCTCATGTTTATACTTTATATTTCCAATATATGTCCACTTTTTTTTTTTTTAATGTTTCTGGGAAGTAGGAAGATGTTTTCCTGGGTAATCAGGCTGGGAGAGAACTCTGTTACTAGGATCAGCCACCGGCATTGGGACAGCAGGCCAAGAAGATGCCCTAAAGAGCTGAGTTCTAGGAGCAGGGTAGAAGGTGAAGCTTGGTCGCACAGGGTGACACAGGGATGCGGTGACTGGCCAGCAAAGCCCAGCTGTGACCGTGGGCCCTGACCACAGGCAGAACCGGCGGAACCAGGCTGCCCCGGGGCTGGGGAGGACCTGCTCTGTGGCCTGGTCCTAGGGGCTGAGACTGGAAGAATCTCGAAGCTGCAGAAGAAGCAGATAGGCCAGTTGCTTCGAGGGCTGAGCCTTGGTTTTGTCAGGAGGGAGGGCACATGGGGCGGTCACTTCTTGGGAGAACTGACACTTGCTGAAGGCCTTGGAGAAACAGCTCGATGGGGGCAGTGCCCGGAGGGGGACCAGCAGAGCCGTGGGCACGAGAGGACCACCGGTGGGGAGCGTTGCGGGGGCTCCCTGGGGTGGGCGCGGAAATGAGGGCCTTGTGGCACTTTGCAGTAATGCCCTCACGCGCTCCAGGGTGTCTCTCAGAAGAAAAGCTGCGATTTCCAAAGAGGAAGTAATGGAAGGTCAAGCCTGAACCCAGGGGAACACGGTGCTTACAGTGGGAACCTGTGTGCACTGATAGTCACTTGGTTTGTAAGCTGCTGGGCAGGAACGCAGCACAGTTATTTTTCTGCAACGTAAAACCAACTGCAGGAATCAACTGGGAGCGCTGGCCAGGGCGGCCTCTGGCTTCTGGTCCTTGCGGGATCGCTGGCAAGAGGGCCTGCTGATTCATCTCACGGTTTTGAGGATAATGGGCTAAGATTTGGTTTGGATTACACCAGGCACGGGTACTTAACATAATTGGTCATTTCATCAATTCCCAGTATTTATTTTAAATGCCATTTAGGCTGCGAGAGACAATTTCAGGACACTCACAGTTTCAGCGGGCAGAGAGCACTTCAGAGCTTGTACAATGGAACCCTAGCTGAGTGCCAGAAGGGGGCCAGCCCTGTGTCTGAAGGGGACCCGGGATGGAGCCAGGCCGGTGAGCGTGGCTCGTCCCCAGTCCCCAGGAGGGGCCGGCTGACAGGTGTCCCCAGCTGTCCCCTCTGCCTGTCTCTGTGGTGACTTCTGGGTGCGAAATACATTTTTTAAACTATCTTTTTAAAAAAACCTTTTGTTGGAGCATGACTGATTCACAGTGTTGTGTTAGTTTCAGGCGTTCAGCAGGATTCGGCTACACATGCACCTGTGTCCCACTCTCTGTGATCTCACGGACCGTGGCCCGCCAGGCTCCGCTGCCCGTGGGATTCTCCAGGCAGGAGGACTGGAGTGGGCTGCCGTGCTCTCCTCCAGGGGCCCTTCCCGACCCGGGGACCCAGCCGAGTCTCGAGCGCCTCCTACTTCGGCAGGCAGGCTCTACCTCTAGCGCCGTCTGGGAAGCCCACGTACACGTATATCTACTTTTTTTTTTGTAGATTCTCTTCCCATATAACCTATTACAGAATAAGGAATAGGGTGTGCTTGTGAAATAGATTTTAAAATTTCTTAGATGTTAATAATAACATCTTATTTTCTTAATGAAAAGAGTATTTTATGGTTTTTCTCCCTTTTTGGGACCCCCTAGCCTCAACACCTGTCCCCCCGCACACATATGCACACGTATTCCAGTCACTCGTTCAGACTTTAAATTAGGGTCCTTCATTTAAAAGTCGGCCTTGGTTGAATTGTTTTAGTGGGCCAGCGACCCCTACTCAGAGGTGTTCGTCGGCCCTGGTCTGACCCTCGTCTGCTCCCTGGTGGGCGCTCCCTCCACCGTGCGGGTCGTCCCTGCTCCTGTCTGCGAGGAGAGGCATGAACCTCCGCCCGTCGGATCCTCCAGGTCTGCCCGCCTGGGGCCTTGGTGGGCTCGGCAGGCCCCCGAGCTCCGCATGGGGATTTGTTCGGAGAGAAGCTGCTGCCTTCACGGCTCTGACCACTGACCGCGTGGGCCCGGCCTCAGATTTACTGTCTCTGCGCGTCAGGCGGGTTTGGGGCTGGAGTCCCCTGGGGAAGCCCGCCCACGTCGCACCACCGCTGGCCGGTCCTGGGGGCAGACCCCCCATCTCCCGGCTCTTCTCGGAAAGCCGTTCAAACCCCCATGCACCCCCTCGCCAAGCAGACCTGCCCCCGGCCAGCCCGTCGGGCCCTCCTGGATGCGGCCGCTGTTGTTAGCGCTGCTCCCGCAGAACGCAGGCGTGTGATTCGAACACATCCCCAACACGCACGGCTGATGATTCTCTCCATTCGCTTCTGACAGCCCCCAGCTGCACTAAGGAAACGGGAAGAAGACCTTGCAGGCCCCCAGCGCCCCGAGCAGGACAGAGCCGCCCCAGGCCAGGAGCAGACAGAGGGGAGGGCGCCGCCAGGTGCCCACTGTGCCCGCGGGCGCGCAGCCCTGCTGCGAGCGCTGCAGGGAGTCGGTTCTGCCCGGAGGCAACTTGCTTCAGGGGACGCGAGGCCCCAGGTCCGCAGCTGGCTTC